ACCACCACGCCTGCCAGGAAATGCTATTTTAATGTAAAACAAGCAAGTTATTTCAATGTTTGGATGAACAGAGGCCCTGTGTGTCCTAGGCAGGCATTCTTTCACTGAGCAACACTCCCACATCCCCCAAAATGTCTGTTTCCCCTTTCGGAAAAGAAATATTTGAAATGTAGAACATAAGGAGTATAGTGAAGGGGCTGGGGATTTAGCTCAGTGGCACAGTGCCTGCCTGGCAAGCACGAGGTCATGAGTTCGATTTTCGGTTGGGGGGGTGGGGGGGGAACAACAACAAAAAAAGGAGTATAGTAAATTAGTGAATACATGGCAGAAAGTGAATCTCCCTCAGGCTAGAGATTTGTTTAGCAAGTATAAGGCCTCGGGCTCAATCCCTAGTACTGCAAAACAAACAAACAAACAAAAGCAAACCTAAAAGAAAACCCTACTTCTACCTCCACACTAGTTCTCAAGCAGTCACTCTGCTCCATAGGGTATTGTAATCTCAGGTAAGAATAAAAATGAGCAATGATCAGTGAGGAACCACTGAAAGAACTACTGTCTGTCTCTGCCAGACACAAAGGCGCACACCTATAATCCAGAGAGAAAGAGAGAGGCTGAGGCAGGAGGATCCCTGTGAATCTGAGTCCAGGTTGGGCTACATGGTGAGTTCAAGGGCAGCCTGAACTACATCAAGAGATCTAGTCACCAGGGAAAGAAAAAACAAAAGAAGGAAAGAAGGAAGGAAAAGAGAGAAGAGCAGAGAAAAATATCTCTGGCTCTAATTCTTTTGTTTTTTACCCCTATTTGCTGGGGACTGAACCCTGGGCCTCAGGGATGCATCCGCTGGACCGTGAGCTACACTCCCAGCCTTTTAGTGCTATTTAATAATAACTTCAAAAGACCTGATTGCTTGAAGAATTCAATAATTCCACAGCAGATATTTTTATCTCCCTTTCCTTGCTTCCTGTGTTTAGTGCCATCCCTGCAGGTCTTTAAATGTTCAAGCTGGTCTTCTCTACTGTCTCAGCTTGGGCCTTCTCAGGTCCCCGAAAGGAGAAATGCAGACTTAGCTCCCCTCCCTTCACCAGGCTGCCTCAGCCTCCCGAGTGCTGGGATTACAGGCCTGTGCCACCACGCCTGGCTTACCTTTCTTAATTGCTGAAAAAAAAATCTGAATTCTTTTTCCCTAGTCGCACAAGTTTGCCTTGTAGGCCAATCGTGTCAGAGATTACCTGAAGATATTCAATTTTGCAGGAAGGAAAACCAGATGTTTCATACAAACTTTTTTTTTTTGTCTTTTGTCTCTTTGAGCCAGGGTCTCGCTATGCAGTTCAGGCTGGACTTGAGCTCACTTTGTAGCCCAGGCTGGTCTCCAACTCACAATCCTCCTGCCTCAGCCTCCAGAGTGCTGGGATTACAGGCATGTGCCACCACGCCGGGCTCCATACAAACTTGTAAAGGATTATGTTTTAAGAGAATGAGTAGAAAGACAGTGATTGAAAGAAGCGCTAGCTTATGCTACACCAAATACTAAACTGCTGACAGTAAAATGCTTTAAGAGCTGCAGGATGGAGCCTCAGATAACGAGACAAAGAGACACGTGTCGGGCCGGGGATGTAGCTCAGCGGCACTGCGCCTGCCTGGCAAGAGGAAGGTCCTGAATTCAATTCCCAGTACAAAAAAAAAAAAAAAAAAAAAAAAAAAAAAGACAAGTGCGAGGGGGCGCAGACTGGCCACAGCACAAGCTGGACTGAAGTCGCGTAACCAATCAGCGTTTTGGCTTCCACGAATCCTGTCTGCTTAAAAACTGCCTTTCAGCTCCTAGAGGGTTGAAGTCAGCGTAACAGAGCTCGGCCTTCAGGGCTCTTTAAGCCACTATGCACCCTTTCAGCCCACGCCTACGGAAATGCCCAGGGCAGAGAGCGCTGGCCCCAGGCGCGGATCGGCCCGCAGACACACGCACGGCGTGGTCAACTTTCTGGGAGATCGCGGACGTGTGGGAGAAAGTGAACGACACAACCGATCTACTGTTGAGCAAAGTAGCCGTACGCAAGCCGCAGAGCCCGGCTACAAGCGTCTAGGAGCCAAGCGCGGGCCCCGGGCCGCGCCCCTCTCCACCCCGGCCCGCCGGGTCGGGAACCACGCACCGAGACGAGCGGGACGCGCAGCCGGTCCCCCTGCAGCCGGTTGAAGGCGGGGAACGTGCTCCAGGCGAGGAAGCCGCCCTGCTCGGGTTGCAGCAGGGCCACGAGCAGCACCTGGTGCAGGAAGCGCACGGTCGGCTGCTCCTCGTAGCTGCTGCGCTTCAGCCAAAAGCCTGAGTTAGAGAGGGCGGCGGGAGGCGGTCAGGAGGCCCGGCCGGGCCGCGGCCGCCCGCGGGGAGCGGAGTCGCGCCCGGCCGGGGCAGGCTCACCGTGGCTCCGGTAGGCCACCAGCAGCGGCGGGATGTAGGTGAGCACGGCGGCCAGCAGCAGGAACAGCGCGGCCTTGGAGCAGAGCCCCGCGCGATAGCCGCGCTCTGCGGGGTGGGAGAAGAGCTCGTAGAGCGCCATGAGCGCCGCGCGGTCGGCTCGCGCGCTGGGACTCCCGCGCGATTCCAAAGGGATGACCAAGTTTGGCTTCTCCTGGTTGCCATCGCTGTGGTCTCCACGGCAACGGACTGCCGCGAGGAACCAATAGGAAGGACGCGGGGCTTTAGTAGGGGTGGGGCGAACGGAGGCGGGGTTTTACGTAGCGCGTGCGTCTCTTGCGACGCTGAGAAGCAGCACGTTGTCGTTCCCTAACGTAACACTCATGTAAGATAAAGTGTTCGTTAAAAGTTGACCCGAAGTGAGTCTTCTTACTGGTCATCTATTAACTCCCAATACGGTTCATAATGGAGTCCACCGTTCGAGTGAACCTGGGCTAAGACCAAAAAGCCAGGTGTCTTTGCCTCCCAATTTTGTTGCTTCCACTGTATTCCACGGCCAGTGAACCGGTCACAACCTCCTGGCTCGTGGAGGGACAGAGGGAATGTACCGCATCGCTTTTTTTTTTTTTTTTTTTTTTTTTTTTGAGACAGGGCCTCGCTACGCAGTTCAGGCTGGCCTTGAGCTCACTTTGTAGCCCAGGCTGGTCTCAAACTCGCAACGATCCTCCTGCCTCAGCCTCTGGAGTGCTGGGATGACAGGCGTGCGCCACCATGCCCGGCTCTGCGTCGCTCTTTCTGATGTATTTATTAACCTTCTGTCAGGTAGATTTTTAAAAAACCCGATCCACCACCATCAAAAGGCCCTAAGGTATCTTACCACATTGCTGTCAGGACATAGGTTTGTGCTCAGTTCAGTCCCACTAGTAGATAACCCTATTTTGAAGGCAACCTGGAAGTGGCTCCTGCCGGGCATGGTGGCACAGGCCTGTAATCCCAGCATTCGGGAAGCTGAGGCAGGAGGATCCTTGAGTTTGAGGCCAGCCTGGGCTACAAAGTGAGCTTAAGGCCAGCCTGAACCGCATGGCCAGACCCTGTCTCAAAAAGACACCCCCCACCCCCGACAAAAGTGGCTCTTAGAGGAAGAGAAATGAAATGCTACGAACATACATCGAGGCCTGCTCACTTGAAAAAAAAAATTTCCAAGGTCTCTATCAGTCTCAGGATGATGTTGTCTGCTCAAAAATGCTTTTGACCTATCCTCTGGTCCAGTAGTACTCATTCTCACTTGAAAGCTTTTTGTGGAGCAACATACAACATGCAACTGACAAACATGGACTAGTGAATGCAAAGCGTGAACTACATCATGTGATCGTGTCTCAAAAAAAATGTCAACTTCGAAGGGCAGGGGATTTACTTCAGCGGCGGTGAGTTCGATTTCCGGTTCTTGGAAAAAACCCAAAAAAAACCCCAACAAAAAAATAAGATCCCCAAATCCAAGGCACCAGATCTAAATAGTGAGGTCACACTGTAGTTTTTACAAGCCTAGCTTTTCATTAGCTAGCACTTAGCACTAGCATTTTTTTTTACCACTTTGTAAAGATACCAAAGAGGACTTCTCCAACTGCTTGAGAACATGCTAAGCATGATGGAGTCATGGGGAGATTTTTTTTGGGGGGGGAGTGGTGTTAATGGCAGTTTGCCTTTTAGGGTAGTTTTTTAAACATTTGTTACATATTTAGATCTCCCCTTGTCACTTTTTGGCTCTTTTTGAGACAGGGTTTCATTATGCAATTCAGGCTGGATTTTAACTCAGTGATCCTGCCTCAGCCTCCTGAATGCTGGGATTACAGATGTGCGCCACACCCGGCCTTGTCACGCCTAATATAAAATTGTTTGGTTTAAATCCAATATACAGATCTCCTTCTGATGGTGAATTATGTCTCCAACCTGCGGTACATCTCCAGCCTTTTTTTTGAGGCAGGTTGTCACTGAATGTAGCCCAGTCCTTCTGTGCCATTAAAGGTATGCAACACCATGCCAGGATTCTATCTCTGTGTTAAGGATCACTTTTACTTCCAGAGTTTTCTTTCAATAGAAGGAACCATATACTGCAGCTAAGTGACTGCTGAAACAAAGGGAAGTGAATGCTAAGGTATATGAAATATATGGGGCTGGGGATGTGGCTCAGCGGCACAGCACCTGATTGGCAATGCAAGGTCCTGAGTTTGATTCCCGGTATTCCCCCTGCCACAAGAAACATACCTTAGGTGTATGAAATACGGTAGCACCCCATAAGATGCCATGTGAGGAAGCTAACCTTTGTGGTTTATTTCAATTATTTAAAAGAAAAGGACACTCACTCTTCTTAAAATCATGCTCTATTATCTTTAATTAAGCACAGAGACCTCTCCAACATGTCACCTAGAGACCATTTCACCCACTGCTCTGTTTGGCCGCTAGCCTCTTATCTCTCTCTTCAGCAATGGTGAGGCGGATTCCTTTTCCTCGTGGAAGAGAAATCCATGGCTTGTTGCCTTTGCCAATGACGAAAATGTTGGAGAGCCGGGTGGCGAAGCTGTTGCCATTGGCATCTTTCACGTGAACCACGTCAAAAGAGCCAGGATGCTTCTCTCTGTTGGTGATCACGCCGATTCTTCCCAAATTAGCACCTCCCGTCACCATACACAGGTTACCCGTGTCGAACTTGATGAAATCGGTGATCTTGCCAGATGCCAAATCAATCTGGATGGTGTCATTCACCTTGATGAGGGGGTCAGGGTAGCGAATGGTGCGAGCATCATGGGTCACCAGATGAGGGATTCCTTTTGTGCCCACAAAGATCTTCCTCACCTTGCACAACTTGTACTTGGCTTCCTCAGGTGTAATACGATGAACAGCAAAGCGACCCTTGGTGTCATAGACCAGACGGAAATGCTCTCCTGTCTTGTCAATGCTGATGACATCCATAAAGCCAGCAGGATAGGTTATGTCAGTTCGGACTTTGCCGTCGATCTTAATGAAGCGCTGCATGCAAATCTTCTTTACTTCATCTCCTGTCAGGGCATACTTGAGTCTGTTCCTTAGGAAGATGATGAGAGGCAGGCATTCTCTCAGCTTGTGGGGACCGGTGGATGGACGAGGAGCAAACACACCCGTCAACTTATCCAGCATCCAATGCTTTGGAGCTGCCACTCGCTTCAGATGCTTCTTGGGACCACGAGCCATGGCTGAGCTGGAACACAAAGGACAAGAAAGTCATTCTCTTAAAATTATAAGATTTAATATTCAGTCTCCTAGCAGGAATTTAATTCTCAAGTAAATTTACAACCCATTAGTGCTGGCTTCAAGGCTTCCCAATGGTTTCTTTTACCTTGACATTTATCTACATTTAATTACTTTTTAGTTCCCTGGTCCTAGCCTCACCTTTGTGGGTATATTTTTTTGGTCATTTTGAGACAGGGTTTTGCTATGTAGCCCAGGCTGGCCTTGAACTCGCAGCAGTCCCCTTGCCTCACCTTCCCCAATGCCGGGATTACAGGTGTGCACCACTGCTCCCAGTGTGGGAAGCAGAAATCATGAATCCAATTTCTTTTGCTTCCTTCCCTCACCTTCTCCTATCTTCCCCTCAGTGTTGAGAACTGAACCTAGGGCCTGGTGTACATTAGGTGTAACCTACCAAATGAGCTCTACCCACAGCCCTGAGCCCACTTTCTAATGCCTCCACTGATTCTAAAAGGGCATTTTCCTTTTTCCACTCTCTAGCTAAGTCTGATCAGCTTAATAGCTTTCACTGCCATTCATCATACTGTACACCTTAGATGTGTGTCTTTTGGGCATCTCACAATGTATCTAATACCAAATTTGATTCCTACCCATTAACTGGCCCTACTCTATTTCTCTGGGTGACAATTCCATCCTTCCCAAAACCCTTACTTTTTCTGCTTCACACCTCACACTGAATCTATCAACAAATTTTGTCAGCTCTACCTTCAATATGTATTCAGAATACAATTATGGGGGCTGAGGATTTAGCTCAGTGGCACAGCGCCTGCCTGCCAAGCACAAGGTCGTGAGTTCGATTCCTGGTACGCGGGGGGGGGGGGGGGGATACAATTATTTTCCTTCACCTTCACAGATACCATCTTGATCTAAGCCAACATTCTCTTTCAACCTGGATTATCATAACAGATTCTTCATTAAAACGAGGGCTTGCATAAGCTAAGCACATGCTCTACCACTGAGATACATTCCTAGCTTAGACTGATCATTTTAAAGTGATGAGGTAGTATACTTCTGCTTAAAAACTTCTACTTACTAGCTGGGTGTGGAGGTAAACGCTTGTAATGTCAGCACTTGGAAGGCTGAGGCATGAGGACTGCCAAGTTCGAGACAAGCTTGGGCTAGCAAGTTTAAGGCCAGTGTGAATTACAGAGTGAGAGACCACCTCTCAAAAGGGGGTGGGCAATGCCAAACAACAATACTGCTCTCTATTTCTCTCAATCTAATACAAATTCAATGCTCTTTGCAGAGTTAAAAGTTCCAACTTTGTCTTGCACCTCTTTGACTTTATCTCCTACTAATACCCTTCCATTTATTCAGCCCCGAGTTCACTTATTTTTATATTCCTAGCACATGCCAACCACTTTATCTAATTAGCACTCTACCCCACCATCATTCCGCAGTCACTCTCCCTCTTTATTTTTCTCAATAGCACCTAGCATTACCTGACATATTTATTTTTTGGTCTTGCTCTACTAAAATACAAACGCCAGGACAGGAAGGCTGTTGTCTATTTTGCTGATGTTTACCTCTAACACCTGAAACAATGTTCTTGTTTGCAGTAACACCAATTTCTAAGTATGAAATTCAAAGAATTTTTCCACTTCATTAAAAACAAAAATCTATTCTGATTGCTCAGACAATCTTAGTCCTTTGTCCCACAAATTTCATTTTTCCCAATAGCCTTCTGAAGCGAAGGCTTGTATCTGGGGGTGGGGAGTGTGGTGGGGAATCACACCTAGGTCCTCCAGGGTGCTAGGCAGGTGATCTACCACCGAACCACGTCTCTGGCCCTGGATTACAATCTTAAAATAACAAAAATACTTTTGGAATGAAGCTACATTCCAAAGCACCCTTGAGGAATTTCATTGGTCAGAAATGAACGTATAACAATGTTCAAATATACAGGCCTGATGGATGCATCAGACTCACACACACATGGCA